ATAGACACTGGGGTGGCAGTGAGCATGGTGCCACTGCTCCCCAGCCTGGGCAAGGGAGTGAGACTCCAACTCAGAAAAAAAAGAAAGATTCTAAAACGATTCTAGTTCTACAAGTTGAGAAAATACACAGTTCTTTTCTGCACTTACCCACATCCACAACATTTAGAATATAGTTCAGTTCCAGGTTTCATGCAGTTATGCCAGGAACATACGTTTCCAGAATGCAATATGTAGCTGCCTCTGGTAGGACCTGATTGTGACCGTGCAGGTCCCAAGGGCACCATTTGTATCCTAGTTCATATATGATTCCCCTCCCCATCACTGTACAGGCCGCCCCTGCAACACACTCTAGGGCAACCCTGCAAAAGTTCATAGTGGAGATTTAGGGTCATCAGAGAAGGGGGAGAGGATCTTGACTTTGACACACAAGAGTCTAGGAGCTTCTGTCACTTGTCCAGAGGCCAATGCTGTCTATTTTAACTCAGGAGAAATCTTCCTGTGGCAGCGAATGAGCAACAGCAGCTTGGGGCCAGCCACATTTGTGACTTACTTCCATACTGCCCTGGTTTCTTACCTTCCTTCACATTGACCAGGTATCTATTTAAAACGCATGTCAGATCATATGACTCTTGTAGGATGAGATCCAAAGTTCTTGGCATGAAATGTACGGAGCTTCACAGGCTTATTTCTTGGCCTTCCCTGTTTCTCCTGTTCACTCACACCTCCCTCCAACCCATCAAAGGGTCAGGTGTTGCTGATACATGCCACGCATGTCCTACTTCATGGACTTCCATTCACGTTCGTCTGGCTGGGATACTCTTCCTCTTTTGCAGGTCTGGAAGGTCTCTGCTACATTTAAGGACCAGTCCACATGTCTGCATGAGGTCTTTCATGACTCCAGCATCCGAGTTTTCCCAATACGCTTCCATTCTTTTACATATAATTTATACATACCACATACATATGGTGGTATTATGTAAATATACATATGTAGTGCATCTGTGTATAAACATATACACACTAGTGTGTGTGTGTGTGTGTGTGTGTTTAATATATGGACCATTCTTCTTACTCATCCATGAGCATCTTGAAGGTCAAGACAGTGCCTTAAGAACAGTCAACCAAGAATTCTATACCCAGTGAAAATATCCTTCAATAATGAAGGGGAAACTAAGATATTCTCAGAGGAGGAAAAGTAAGAGAATGTACTCAGTAGAACCCATCCAAAAAGAAAGACTAAGGAAATTCTCTAGGCAGAAAGAAGATGATAAAAGAAGGAATCCTGGAACATCAGGAAGTAAGAAAGAACAATAGAAATATTAAAAATATAGTAAAAATATATTGAGGTAAAGAATGCCTTGAGTCACTAGATGAAAAAGAGACCCAGTAATCCATATCAGAAAATTAAAATTTTGGTCTTTATAAGTCATTAAAAAAAAAAAAGACAGTGCCTTTAGATACTAGACAGTATCCTTATAGCACCGAGGCTTGAAGCACAGGACACAGAATAAAAATGCTTGCTAATATAAATGTGATCATAAAGACAGCAGCAATTATAATGAAATTTTAGCTTGTTTACCAGAAAAAGTGCATTACCTAAAACTTGGCAAATGAACTCCTTTGTAAAATGAGGGGGTTAGATGACAGAACTCTTTGAGTCTGTTCTGGCTCTAAACTAAAATTGTGTTTCTGTAAGAGAGACAGTGCCATCTAGTGGTACAGATCTTTTTCTTTTGACGTGACTTTTTAGCCATTTCTGTCTGAGGTAGTCCTAGTTTTTTACAATTATGTCAACACTCATGGTTGTTCTGAGGCCTCGGACACACTATAGCTGTTATAAATTCAATACTTGAGGCTAAATACACAGTGATATTTGTTTTAGAAATACAATGATTACTCAGAAACAAATTTCATTTTCTAGCGTGTGTTTGAGAGACGTCCAAGCAACCACTATTTCAACAGGAGTTTCTCAGAAGGCTGCCGTGGCCGTGAATTGTTCTGGATGCTGGTGACACCGTAGTGACTAAGTCAGACAGTCTCCCCATCTGTGGGACTTATATTCTTATTGTGAGAGAGACCAGAAAAGGCAAATAAGCAATACATAAGATACATTTTGATTCTAATAGGAAAATAAAACAGAATGACACTGGGGGAGGGCAACTTTAGACAAGGTTGGCCTCTCAGAAGATGATGTGTGAGCTGAGGTGCCACGACAAGGAGTCCTCAGCCATCAGGTTCAGCTTCACTTGAGGAATGATGGCTCCGGGCAGGAATAGCAGCAAGTGCAGAGGCTGGGGGCAGGGAATCTTCCTGAAAGGAGGCACAGGCTGGAACAGGTGGTGCTTGCAGACTGTGAGAAGGAGTTGGGATTTTACTTGAGGTGCAGTGGGAGTCTGCTGGGACATTTTAGGTGGAGCAGGGGCATAGTCTGACTCAAGTATACAGACACTCGGGTGTTCAGTGGAACATACTGTGGTCATCTGCAGAATTACATCCTTTAAGAAGATGCTACAAGCCGGGCTTGGTGGCTCAGCCTGTCATCCCGTGCCTTTGGGAGGCTGAGGTGAGTG